CTTTCCTATCATCAAACTGTCTCCTGGTCTCTCTCGCTCTCTCTTTTTGAGGATAAAGGGATTAACATGAACATTCCTGCCAATAATAAGAGGACAAAGCTGGTCACATGACCCCCCCCCCAAAAGTTTCCACTGCTCTGCTGTAACATCATCACATCACGTCACACCCTCCCCCACACACACAGACAAACATAGAGAAAAGAGGATGAATCAAGATGTTTATTATTACTTATACTGAGGATTAAGCAAGAAGGCTTATCTTAATTGTCAAAATTAAATCATAGGCAATAAAGCATTGTGATGCTAAGGAGAAAAAAAAGTCTATGGCTCAAATCAAGTCAGTTTTATTTATATAGCCCAATATCACAAATCACAATTTGCCTCAGTGGGCTTTACAATCGATACAGCATACAACACCTTAGCCCCTCGATTTGTATGAAGAAAAACAAAAAATCTTTAAGCAGCCTTTAACTGCGGAAAAATAGAAGAAACCTCAGGAAGAGCAGCAATGGAGGGATCCCTCGCCTGCACTCTTATTTGGTGAACTAAATGGTTTCTACACTGGTAAGTACACTTAGCTTAACCAAAGGGATGCATAAAGACAAAGAGAAAGCAGCTGCCCAAACATAGTGTATAAATGATTGAAGTGTGCTGCGTCTATTGTAGAAACAGTGTGACGCTTAATATTTTCTGGTTAAACATACACTCACCTAAAGGATTATTAGGAACACCTGTTCAATTTCTCATTAATGCAATTATCTAATCAACCAATCACATGGCAGTTGCTTCAATGCATTTGGGGTGTGGTCCTGGTCAAGACAATCTCCTGAACTCCAAACTGAATGTCAGAATGGGAAAGAAAGGTGATTTAAGCAATTTTGAGCGTGGCATGGTTGTTGGTGCCAGACGGGCCGGTCTGAGTATTTCACAATCTGCTCAGTTACTGGGATTTTCACGCACAACCATTTCTAGGGTTTACAAAGAATGGTGTGAAAAGGGAAAAACATCCAGTATGCGGCAGTCCTGTGGGCGAAAATGCCTTGTTGATGCTAGAGGTCAGAGGAGAATGGGCCGACTGATTCAAGCTGATAGAAGAGCAACTTTGACTGAAATAACCACTCGTTACAACCGAGGTATGCAGCAAAGCATTTGTGAAGCCACAACACGCACAACCTTGAGGCGGATGGGCTACAACAGCAGAAGACCACCGGGTACCACTCATCTCCACTACAAATAGGAAAAAGAGGCTACAATTTACAAGAGCTCACCAAAATTGGACAGTTGAAGACTGGAAAAATGTTGCCTGGTCTGATAAGTCTCGATTTCTGTTGAGACATTCAGATGGTAGAGTCAGAATTTGGCGTAAACAGAATGAGAACATGGATCCATCATGCCTTGTTACCACTGTGCAGGCTGGTGGTGGTGGTGTAATGGTGTGGGGGATGTTTTCTTGGCACACTTTAGGCCCCTTAGTGCCAATTGGGCATCGTTTAAATGCCACGGCCTACCTGAGCATTGTTTCTGACCATGTCCATCCCTTTATGGCCACCATGTACCCATCCTCTGATGGCTACTTCCAGCAGGATAATGCACCATGTCACAAAGCTCGAATCATTTCAAATTGGTTTCTTGAACATGACTATGAGTTACTGTACTAAAATGGCCCCCACAGTCACCAGATCTCAACCCAATAGAGCATCTTTGGGATGTGGTGTAACGGGAGCTTCGTGCCTGGATGTGCATCCCACAAATCTCCATCAACTGCAAGATGCTATCCTATCAATATGGGCCAACATTTCTAAAGAATGCTTTCAGCACCTTGTTGAATCAATGCCACGTAGAATTAAGGCAGTTCTGAAGGTGAAAGGGGGTCAAACACAGTATTAGTATGGTGTTCCTAATAATCCTTTAGGTGAGTGTATACCAAGTGAAATAGATAAGTGAAACTGACATAATAGGTTTTCATGAGGGAAAACCTGAACATGGAATTGAATCTGGAGAACTAGGCCCATGTCAAATGATGAATCCAATATAGACTGTAGTGTTGTCCATCCATAAGCTGCTGACAGCTCCTTTGTGTTTTTGATGGATATACATGTAGAGCCAACACTGTCATTGTTCAGGCTATAATTGAACGATTCCTAGTGAGGGTTTTGTGAAAGCTTTTTGTTGAGCTGTGTGTGTGTGTGTGTGTGTGTGTGTGTGTGTGTGTGTGTGTGTGTGTGTGTGTGTGTGTGTGTGTGTGTGTGTGTGAGCTTGTTAGTGGGTGTCATATAGTGTAGGCAGCCGTGTGTATATGATAATCTTTGTGTTAACAATGGGTGTGACCAGCAGATAACTGAGCATCACAAGGACCAGCTAGTTGCTAGAAAAGGGAAACTTAACCATTGCGGGACTGGAGCTGAACCAGAAGAGGAGCCTGCCCTAGATGGCGTGAAACTCACACTTATCAGGCCTGGGGAACATTTTATTTAATTTAGGTTGTTCAGCACAGGGCAGACATGCTACTGCAAATCTTTTAAATTAACTTGAATGTTTTTTTATGGGGGGGGTTCCTCAAGATAATACTTTGCATTTTTGCACATGCAGTGTTTCCTCCTAGGATTTTTTTCAGCAGCATGGGCAGGACAAACAGCACCCCTGGAGAAACTACAACCTTTAGATCTAGAGAAAGTAATTTAGTTGGTTCTGTTGCTCCACAGTGATTTTACATTGATGGCACAGTCTGTACAGGACAGAGCTACAGGCTATGTCAGTTTAGTCTAAGTTTGTACCTGATGTTCTCATCATTGGACAAGTAGCCAGTAATAAAATGCAGCTTCCAGTTACTTTCTATAAATTGAGCTAATGTTAAGTTACATAGCAGCTGTGTAGCTGCTGTAGAAGCTTTCCTGCTCAGCTGCGCAGTCTGAAGGGGAGGGGTTAGCTAACTTAGTGCTAACCGGCTTCACTTTTCCAGGAGGTGGGAAACAACAGACTTTTCTTGGTCTTGAGAAGCAGAACAGACACTGTACATTTACTGCCAGAATATTTTCCTCCACTCGCGTTCACTGTCACTTTCTGCCGCTCGGACAATCAAACACTCGCTACACACCTCCTGATTCAGAGTTACGCTGCTCTTATGACACCATCTGTCACGTATGTTCTGCATAGAACGAGGAGAGGAAGCGAGCAGAGCATTGTGTGTTGCCAGCTGCGTGCGAGTGAAAACATCTGTAGCGCATAGTTTAATAATCGTGGGAAATTTTAGTAGCGGCGGTCG